TAGCATAAATCTCTCAAAATTCTCCCAAGAGTGTGGAAGCAACTATTTAAGACACATATGTCTTCTTCCTTGAATGCTCAGAGACAGACAAAGACATATGTTAAATCAGTTACCCCGTCGATGTGTATGTTCTGGTGCGGAACCTAAACATAGGTACCCGGGATCTACGGAGGGCGACATGAGGAGGAGAGTTTGGAGAAACCTAGACCCCCCTACCCCCACCTCGCCGAGTCTTTTACAAGCACTTGATTGATTAATGTTGTTGTCAGGGAACATAGTCCCCAGAGAGAAAGAGAGGGATCCTTTCTGATATGTAGAGGGATTTACAAGTAGCGGCCAGCTTTCAAGTGCTGGGAAGCGATCGCCGGCCAAGGGAAGAGATGAGAAATCCATCAGGAATGCATTTTGTCTGCTCTTCTTTCTTCCCTTCTCTTTTTCCCCCATCCCTCTTTTTGTCTCACACTAGCTCAGAGTGCAGCTGCTGCTATAATTCTACTGTATTTGCTTTGTGATGTTACATAAAACTACAGGGTTCACAAACTGTCAGGAAGCATCCCAAAGACTCTGGGTGAAAGTAATAGGGCAGAGCTCCAACTGTCATCTGACTGAGAGTGATGTACTCCCGAAGGTGAGGGGAGGTCAAACAATTAGTCTCCGCTGAATAAATAAATATAACAAACATCAGCAATAAACAGAGGCATCTGGATGACAAGAGAAGAAACAACTCCAAAAGGAGTTCTAAAAGCCAATCAGATAGTTAAACTCAATACATTCAGTTGCAAACCCGTACAGGGGAAGTACAGATATCTGTGCAAGTGAGCTTATCCCACCTGTACACGAGCCTCGGTCAGTTTGGCCCTCTGTGCGAGCTCCTCTCTAGTGTAGATGTCGGGGTAGTGTGTCCTCTCAAAGGCCTTCTCGAGCTCCTCCAGCTGCTCCGCCGTGAAGGTGGTACGGCTGCGTCTCTGTTTCCTTTTCAGGGGCAGGTCTGGCTCCGACTCCACATCCGAACCGTCGTCCGTACGGTTACCTGCATACACAGTTTGGAAATAAGTCTTTGAGAGGCTTTGAACATCAGCACCAAGTCTCTGAGGCTTTAAAAAATGGCAAGTTATTTTAAAAAATTTGATATGTACAGCAATTGAAAATCTCAGCTGTCACCAGTAGAGCAGCATACCACGAATTTGTCAAGAGAAAATGATCCTGAAAGCAGAGACCAGCTATCACGGCGATATTAATGCTTCCGTTATCTCGACGTGTCAATGGAGCCCTAGATACCGTTTTATTGGGTCTTATTCATATGTGAGAAGTCTTCAGACACATAATCCTGCCACTGAGCCCTGGAGAGGCCTGGGGGACGTAACTGTGAGGGTTAGGGTAATCTACACCAGACACCTTGCTCTAGCACGTCCGCCTTATTCTCTCTGTAGCGGCCTGGGGCTAGCTCCTAAGAGCAAGTGTTTGAAATAAGAATGTATGAGACTTCTGGGCCATTGAATCCCTCTCTTTGTGTTTCAAGCTAGTGTTCGAAATATATTACAACATATTTTACATTACTTTTTTTCAGGCATGCAGTCAAAGACAAGTGCAGATCGCAGTTGGCAGTTTGCATTTTAGCCAGAGGAGTATTTCCCCGGCACAAAGACGAACACTACTACGACCGAGCCAAGAGAAGCGTTTGTAAAGAGAGATATGGAGTGCGTTAAGATATATTACTGAAATACATTACCATGATAATTGATTATAAAATTGCATCATACTTTATTTGTGAGCCACCTCTGTATATCTATTCATGGCAGCAGTGAATAGAAAAGGTCCTGTCACAAAAATCACACTTTTACATTTGCTTTCTTAAAACGCATGAGTGCTAACAAGCAGCGTAGTGTGAGTCTTGCTCCAGGCCCTTTGGTCTTGCATCATCCACGGGGGAAAGACAGAAAGAAGGGCTCCGATCTCCTTCCCCCGCAACACCACAGCTGCCACTGTGGAGACAAATCTCCTTTGAGCCATCATTCGCACTCTCTGCCCACTGCTGATCAGCAGGTTCCTGCACCCTGGACCACTTCACACGAGTTTTCCTGCATCTCCGTTTTCTTCTGCCAGACCGGAGCCTGATCATCTCTCTCAAACCCCCATTTGTCAGGCCTCTTCTGTGGCTGATAGGCTGCCAGGAAAAGAGGTTACAAAAAGGCCTGTGGGAGTGCGCTAGTGTGTGTATATTAGTATGTGCATGGGCGTGCGAGTATGTCCATTCGTATCGGCGAATGCATTCTTCTTGGTGCATGTGCAAGTATTGGGTGCACTTGAAAACGACAATAGGGCATGCAAGTATGTTGGGTATCAACAAATGCAGTCTTCTTGGTGCATGTTGAAGTCCATGGAAAAGACAAAACAAACTACTGTAGGACATTCTTCCTGGTGCATGTCAATTCTGGTGCACCAAATACATGCACAACAGAAGAAAAAACTGCAAATTATCAATAAAAAGAACCAAACTCTGGCCGTGCAATTATGTTAGTGCATACTTGCGCATCAACAAATGCATTCTTGTTGGTGCATGTGGAAGTTCATGGAAATTATGAATATAAAAGACAAAACAAACTAGGGTCTTGTTCATTTACAAATGCATTCTTGTTGGTGCATGTGCAAGTATTTGGCGCAACTACATCAACAATAGAAGAAAAACTCCCTTCTGCAATGCAACCGCTTCAAGACGAACCAAACTGCTGCAGTCTCCAGACCAGCTCAGGAGTTTAATTAAACAAGGAATTAGCGGATTATATGGAGACTATCATTACAGACCACTCGAGCAGTCTTCACAGAATGTCTTTTTGTCTCCCCAAGCTCTGGCTCAACGATTCTCAATGGATTACATGCGACCGCAGGACATGAGTCCGCATTCATTAAATCAATTCCTCCATCTTCCACCTTTAATAAAGATTGATTTTTTTTTTACAACACTGCCTGGCACTCCAGCACACGAAGAAAATCTTGAATATACAAAGTTGAATATGTACATATCCTGGATATCCCTTTGTTGGTTTTCATGAGGATGTGCCAGAGCAATTTGTTGCTAACACACCATGACAACACTTGAGACTGGCACAGTGGTCTACGGATCACTTTCCAAAGTCACCTCGGCGTCCTGAGGGGGAGGGAAAGACGTGCCGCTGTGATTTTTGTTTCATTGCACAGTTTCGCCACATGATTCATGAGGCAAGATTCTGTCAGCGTATCCTGCGCTTGCGTCTCTTGACGCATCAAAGCCTTTTCACTTTTAATTACAAAGTACTGTAACCATATCAAATCCCGCCACAGGTCTTTTGTATTGAAATATTTCACAAAACACAAGTAATAAATGGGCAAAACTCAGAAACAAAACTCAGGTTGTTGTTGCCGTCTCACAAGCTCTAGCTCAGCCGTCTTGCGAGCCCAAGACTGAAGGTCAACAGGCCCCCTGACAACAGCAAAGGATTATGGTAATGAAACAGATGCTGGCAGAGATAGAGCAGTGAGAGGGGCATGATACAGGCCTCGTCTCTGTCCTGAAGACATCCACTGATTGGGATGCTAGCTTTTATCAAGGGAATAGAAGCCCCAAATGGGTTCAGGTTATGGCAGACATGTAATATGCTACAAGCATACAGTCCCTGCTAGCTGCTAATGTGAGGGTGGAGTGACTTAGCTGACTGTTTAAGTGTAAAATGAGATGGCTAAAAGTATACGAAACTCTTGTGTAGCTATTATAAACTAAATTATTGCCATTATTCCATAATATATATATGGCTCCCATTCTGTGTTTAAAATGCACTACATTTAACCAAATTAATCAGGGGACCAAAAAAAGCAGCAGTTAATTTGCACTTTAAACACAATTAAGCCCAAGAAGATGTGAGGTCAATTCACAATAACTCTTCCCTGTTTTAAAACAATAAGGTACATCCTGACTAATCCGCCTCACAATAACCAAGCTGTAATTCTATTTGAGGGTTCTGGGGATATTGATAAAGTCCTCTGCTCACTTATCAGCCAATTAAAGCCTAATTATGTTCCATTCATTCTGTGCTACAGTCTGAATGTTTTTTCCTCCAGGGCCCAACGTGATCATTAACGAAATGTTGACTTTGTGCCGAGTACTTAATTTGCAACAAAATTAGGGGTGTACAGAATGCTCTGACGAATTTTAGATCGTATTTCATTTAAAAACCAAACCCTTATTGAGCAGAGGGCTAGAAGAAGATAAACCATTACGAGTAGGTTCTTTGCTTCTTGGATGCATGAATCACTAAAGCCAAATCTCATCCATTTAAGGCTCATTATCTGCAAGAGTTAAGCCAACATACACATTTAGCTCCATTTAGCAGTGGTTTACATTAGCTTTCGTTGGCTTAAAGGGATAGTTCACCCTAAAATGAAGATTCTGTCATAATTTACTCATCCTATGATGTTCTAAACATGTATGACTTTCTTTCTTTGGCAGAACACAGATATTTTAAAGAACGTTGAGTTTCAAACAACATTGGACCCCTCTGAACTTCATTGTATGGAAAAATCTATATTCAAAATATCATCTTTTGTGTTTGATAGATAAAACTTTTTGGGGTGAACTATATCTTTAACAGAAATGTGACCATATTACAAAATCCTAGCTGGTTAACAGTTGAATTAAAGACAGTTCTGAAATGACCTTTTGTATTATTTTTTCCATGATTATATTTCCCTTTTTCAGGAGCTTGCATGCCATAAAGAACCATGTTTGGTTACTCGAAGAATCTTTTAATGAAAAGTTCTTAAAAGAACATTTTTAAAAAATCCACTATAAAGTACATTCCAATGGAAAGGTTCCACTGATGTTAAAGGTTCTTAATGGAACCATCAATGGCAATAAAGAACTTAAGAGTCTAAAAATATTAATGCTAACAGCACAGTGATTTGAAACATCTCTTTTCTTCTCTAAGGGCTATAAAAGAAGCATGTTGAGTATAAGTACTATGTCATATGGCTAAATAAAAAATATAAATATTTTGGTCTGCTAAAAAGAGTGTTGAAGCTAAAATAAAAGTACCATGGTACTTTAGTCATTTAGTAGCATGGTCTGATACCATCACTGTACCATGCTATACAGCAGCGTTTGTTAGTGGAACACATCCAAGTAACGGACGGTGAATAACTAACTGCTGAAAATCCCATTTAAAACAGTCTCTTTGTCTGCCTGATCTATCTTTATCGTCTTTATAATCGTAATTATATCACCCAACAGCATCAAAAGTGATTTGCGCAGCTAGAGTTCGATATATCATTACCAAAGCTAAGAGCCTAAAAAGATGTCAAAGATCCTTATAAAAAAAAGACAATTGAAAAGCACGATTGAGCCAGAATTCAAAGTGCAGCTTTTTGACATCATCAGAATCCCAGGAATCAGTCAGGGATGGCGAATAATAAAAAGCCTCCATGACACAGTGAGAAGGAGGTAGAGAGGCATCTCCAGCCTCATCTGCTAAGATTGCCTTTGAATCAGTATTAGCTCAACATTACGGTAAAATTCAATGCAGCCTCTTTTTTTTTAATACCGTAACCAATGTCCTCAATATCAGCTGTACCTTGCAAACTACCCAAGACAGTGTGACAAAAACAGACAGGGCTTTTTGCAGTGCAGCATTAGCTCATAATGGCTTATTTTGAAAAGCATATTAGTTCCAGCATAATTACAATCAAGTCTTACGCTTGCTATTTTACAGGCATTCAATAGGACCAGCCTCGAAGCTGCAAATGACACCAGTTGAGTGTAACTGACAACACATCTTTCCCTTTTTTTTTTCCTTTGGCATCTTCCTACCCCCACCCCATCCCATATTCCCACAGGACAAAAATAACAGCGTCCCTGCTTAATTTTTGTTTACATGTTTATTTTGTACATAGCCTTTGTAAGAGTCACTGGAGCAATTATACTTTTTGTCACTCTTGGAGGAGGAGAGGAGAATCATAATGCCGAACAGCCCATAATGAGCCAAGTTTTCGCCGTGCGATCTG